ATCCAAAAAATTGTATCAAGTTTGACAAGCTCCATTTTACATAAAAGGAGGCATGAATTATGCTACCATCTTTTAATTCTTTAGTGATTCCATTCCATATCAGCCTTTCCATGATTTGCCTGGTTTCAATATGTGGTTCAATGTCCAGATATTACCAGACTAAAGTTATCCAGGCCATCCCATTTACCCTTTTAAAATACTGGCACGTTAGCTTTTTTTCCTAGTCCTCTGGTGCTTCCCCAGTGTTCCAATATCTGTTAAATACCAATGTCGATGGGTAAGAGAACTCCTTGGCCAATTCTTTCAAAACTCTTAATTGCAAGTTATCTGGTCCTGCAGATTTAAAAATGTTTACCTTCAGTACTTGCTGTTTAACATTTTGCCTATTACTGTATTTCATTATCACTGTAAGATGTGAATATTTCATCCAGTTTCTTTCCAAATACAGAACAAAAATACTTACTCAACACATCTATCCTTTCTGCATTGACAATTTTACCATTCCTATCTAGCAATGTACCTACACAATTGTTAGAATTTATTTTATTTCTCATATATTTAACAAATTCCTTCTTACTGTCTTTAATCTAGTGTATTTTCTGTCTTTTTCATTGAGCCCTTATCAATTGTCTGTATTGCGTAACTGCTAATTTATAGAGATTGCTGTCAACTTCCCCCTGTTTCCATTATATCTCTATAATCATTTTTATTGCTTTTTCAACTTCCCATCTTAATCAGGATGATGTCTTAACCTTATGAGCCTTCTTTCATGACTGCAGAATTGTAGGGATTTGGGTGTCAAAATTTCAGGGTAACTGCATCTGTATTCCCCCTCTGTGGTTCCTTGAGGGCACATACAACCCTTGATGGAGGGTTCCGTCTCCCAGTGTCACGTGTCTCTCCCTCCTGACTCTAGGGGGTTTAAGGCAGCACAGTTCCCTGCCTTACACTGTGATATCCCCAGCAAGCCAGTCTGCCTAAAGGCCAGTTCCTGTGCTTTGCCTTCTCTCCAAGAGCTATGCACCAGTTACAAGTTACCACACAGCTCTTTCTAAGCAGCACCTTTATTCTTAAGGTTAAATTACAGAGAAAACATAAAAGCAATAAAATTTCCTAGATGCGTATTAGAAACTTACCAAAGGTCACCCCATCAGTCATAGAGGCCTTAGTGGGCCAAAATCTTTCCAACCCTTCTGCAAGGATTGGGGACCGCCTTTGGACAAAAAGTCCTGTCTGTTTGCTGGATCAGAAAGAAGGCCTGAGTTAGTTTAAACACTGTCTTGTTATGCCAAAAGCCCTTTGTCTGTTGATCTCTGGAAAATCGAGTTTGAACCTTCATATGCAGTCCTCCCCTGGGTGGGGAAACCTCTCTAGATGTGTTTTCCACCTAGGGGATTCAACTTAATCACCTCCTACAGTTTTTGGTTTCTAGAGGAGCTGTAATAATTCTCCCCCTTGGAGTTGCATACAGTCCCTGGCCCACAGTGAAACAAACTTAATACAGTATGCTCCCCAAAGATATCGCATAGGATTGCAATATCTGTCATACTGGGCATCTATTTTTCACATTTCTAACTGTGTATATATATATATGTAGGTGTAAAAAGTGAGTGTGTGTGTTGCCACACATTTACCATCAACCTCTTCTATTATTCTAACTTTGGCATAATAGCAATTTTGTATTGTCATTATTTTAATGATAAGTCAGTGGAGAAAGAACCAGGATATATGTATAGAAACAGAATTGTAGGGCTGGAAGGGACTTTGAGTCCGGCCCCCTGCACTGTGGCATGACCAAGTAAACCTAGACAATCCCTGACAGGTGTTTGTCCAACCTGTTCTTAAAAACCTCCAATGACAGGATTCCACAAGCTCCCTTGCAGTTTAACTATCCTTAGAGTTAAAATAATTTTCCTAATATCTAACCTAAATCTCCTTTACTGCAGATTAAGCCCATTACTTCTTATCCTATCTTCGGGGGACAAGAAGAACAATTGATCACTGTCCTCTTTATAAGAGCCCTTAACATATTTGAAGTCTTTTATCCCTCCATAGTTGTCTTTTCTCTGGACTAAACATACCCCGTTTTTTTAATCTTTCCTTACAGGCCAGGGTTCTAAACCTTTTATCACTTCTTTTTTTCTCTCCTGTGTACTCTCTCCAATTTGTCCACATCTTTTTTAAAGTGTGGCACCCAAAACTGCACACAGAAGTCCAGCCGAGGCCTCATCAGTCCCAAATAGAGTGGAACAGTTACCTCCCATTTCTTATATATGACACCATTGTAAATACTCCCCAGAATATTAGCCTTTTTTGCAGCTGCATCACTTTTTTGACTCATATTCAGTCATATCCACTGTAACCCGCAGAGCCTTTCCAGCAGTACTACCACCTAGCCAGTTGTTCCCCATTTTGTAGCTGCGTATTTGATTTTTTTTCTTGCACTTGTCTCTGTTGTATCTTCTCTGCTAGAAAGGTTCTGCTGACTCAGTAGGGGCGCTGACACTAGATTTGAACTTGTGATTCTGTGTGTCTTGCTGCTGCAGCAGATTACCTAAATTAGTTCTGAGTTATAATAATAGTGAACATATGGTAAAATAAAAAGAGAGCTGCACTCTAATTATTAGGTCACTTGTATCAGGGCCGGATTAACCTTTTGTGGGCCCCAGTGCCAAACATATTTGTGGGCCCCCATGTAGTCATTGTGCTCTCCAACTGTGGGCCTGGTCTGGCAGTGCCATTGGTGCCATAGTATATCCGGTACTGAATCTCAGAGACATTTTTCATTTTGATCACACACCTCTGCATGACTATATGCATTTCTGTACACAGCTCCCTCAGCCCCCTGCTTTTCTCATTGAGCTGTACACCCATGTGGGTTTACCAGTGTCCACAGTGAGCAGAACTTTCATAGTGATCAGGGGAAACTCCCCACAGATTTATCTCCCTCCTCATTCAGACCTTCTATAGCCATGTCTCCAGTACCACCGTATGTCACCAGTCACTGTATATGGTTCTGGTCTCAGCTCAAAGTTCCAAAGCCAGTAGATACCTGATCAATTCTGACAAATGCCTCCCTCAGCACCCATCCTACTATTTGAGCAAGACACTTGCAAACACCATTTCCCCAAAGTGAGGACTTAGGCCCTAGGAACCCCAAGTCACCAGCTTTTCTCCCTCTGCTCCCATCTACATGCTAGTCTACTACCTGGTCAGCACTACCTCTCCCCATGCCTGTTTCCCTTCTACCTTGGACGCTATTCTCCCCTGCAAGTCTGACCTCTTCCTCTTTCCCTGCTTCCCTTGACATTCCTTTCCTACGGGTGACCTCTGTTCTTAGAGGTTAACTCCAGTTTCTTTATCTGCTCCTAGCTTAATGGCCCCCAGTAGTCACAGAGCCACCTGCAGCTTCTCTGGCTACAGCCATGGGGCCAATTGCCAGAGGTCCAGCCTTAGATAGCTGTAGCTACATGGTGTCAATTCCCAGGCTGAACATGCTTGAACCTTGCAACGGCAACACTATGGACTCTAAATCCTCAGCACTAGCCCTAGGCAGCTGCAGTCTCTGCAGTTAGGCACTTCCCTCCTCTAGGCCATGGCTTTAAGTACCTGAGATGTCCATCACCTGCAGCAGAGGCCACCAACGCGCCTCTCAGCTAGCACATAGTCGAGCAGAAAGTGCATCCTGAATGATTTTGGAGTCTGGAGTCCCAGGGGGTTCCCATCCCTGAGCAGCAGCTCTCCAAGAAGCTCACATGGCCTCCCTCCGCTGTGGGACTAAGACCCTATGAAGACAGTGGAGTTACCCAGTGTATAACCAGTTCTGTCCAAAGCCTGTTGAAGTGAGTGGAATTCAGCATAGTGCATTCTATGCTGCACTGGTTTACTATTGTAACAGGGAGGTCTCACATTAAGCAACACCTCCTACAGCACCTAACTTTCTGAGAGGCTTCCTATCCAATTACTAAATGTAAGCCCGCTTCGCTTACAAGGGCTGAAAATATCAGGTAGTATGGTTACAAAAGCAAGGCACTTCTGAATTCAGTAGGAATTTTCGATGTGCACAGAACACAGACAGGACTGGCTCCCGCATGGTTACAAAACTGCAGTAAAGTGGAACAATTTTCAGCTTGTGTGATTGGAGGATATCTGGATCCATATTATAAGACTGTCCTACATAAATGAGGAAAAGTTGAGGTGTCTTTGTTATTCTTTTGTTCCACTAGGTAACAGTAGTTCAGATTCTTGAAGTGGATATGTTATTTGCCTTCAGTTTAGTAATGAATCAGCTGGCAAATAGATGTACCTCCATTGTCATCCACTAATCACACTGCTCTGTCCAGAACTTTAAGTAATTTTTAAGTGTGTTGTCTCTGAAAGACAGACCAGAAGCAGCTAGACTTGTTCTCTTAACGTCCACTAAAAAGATTTTTCTGACTGCAGTGTCACTTTCCGGGAGCGGGGGGGAGCACCAAAAAAATTGCCTTGCAAGCTTGTATGGATAAGCAAAGACTGACTACGTCTAAGATACATTCCCATTGTTTATATGTTTCTGTCTCCTAACCAGGCTTGTAATTCTGGGGCCAGAAAAAGGAACTTAGCATGTTGTATATGCTATTGTTCAGTGATGCCCAAGTAGATATAACCCCAAATGTAAGCATCTAGGAAGTCTGTTGGCTATCATGGTTACAAATCATCCTTTCTTTTTATTGATATTTTTAAAATGTAATAAAAAGGAAACAGCCCAACTTACTGAGAAAAGCAGTATCCACCTGTTAGGTGGTAGCCCTTCTCAACTGTTTCTGTGTTTGGAGGTATTCAGAGTTTGCTGGACTTGTTGGGAACATCTCCGGTGGAGTGTATTTGCTATTTATGTCCATATGAAAACAAAACTTGTACAATATAGGTCCAAGATGATACAGGTTTTGGAAATGAATAGCTAGGAGATGAAGAAAGTTTATCACATAACTGGTATTTATTAATGTAATTTTTTTCCCCAGCATTAGGGTCTGCAGGAAAAGGAAGTCGGCCATTGGATATAGGACCTGACTACAAACCACCCATGAGTGGTAAGTCCTTTATAAAGCATTTCAGCAGAGACCTATTAGGCTGAAATTCAGTATGTCTTGGTATAATGGTGTGTGATGTGATATGTCTCCTAAAATATGAAGCTATTATTTACAGCCCTGAACACATCTTTTCCAATAATTGCAGTTTTCCCCTTTTATGAACCATTTGATATTAGCAGTTCACAAATGAGACTGGGAAAATAATTTAGCATGTTACTATAATACAGTCCTTGTCCACCGTGAAAGAACAAATGGGATCAAAAATGTTTATAAGCACCAGATTTCAATTATGTCACCAAACCTTTTCCCAGCCTAGTTTAAAACGACTGCCTCTATGTACCAGTGACATAATAGGGTCAAGAAGAAAAAAATCTTGCTCTTAAACCTTCCCCTCATTTGCATTTAGTATCATGAAAGCCTTGCACTGAGGTACCACTGGTTACAGCTGCATAAAATGTATCTTATTTTAAAGAAAAATGATCATTGTAGTAATGCCAAAAATGTATTAAGTGTGGTTACTGTGTCCAAAGGAATGCCTGATATCCTTTAGTTCCAGCAGGGTCTTTTTCATTGCATTCTTGTCAGCTTTCCTGGATATGTTTTCAGGCCCGTCTTCCCTTTCACCGTCCACCAGACATCTTTCTAGAGACAGCAAAGTACAATTCCCCAACGTCCTAGAGGTTTGGACTGTAAAAGAAGAGAGCTGCTATTAGCATAGTGCTGTTCTCTGGAAGCAGCATGCTGGGATGGATTTTGTTTTAAATTATGGAAGATATTTGAAATTAAAGGTTTATATTTTACTTTGAAACTTACACTTCTGAGCCACCCCTGGGAAACTACTATTTCTTTGAACAAAAATGTAATTTGTGTGCTTGATTGTTATTTTTGTTTTGTTTTAATTTGAGATGCCACAAAATTCAGATCCAGAAGTAAACTTTTGCCCAAGTTCAAGGATCCAGGTCAGACCCATTACAGAAACAGTGGTACCCTGGGCCACAAACTCCAGATTCCAATATTTCCAAAGTTCCAGGGCAGGGCAGGGATAATGAGTTCATTCATATGACAGAAGACTGTCTGGACATTGGAGACACATGGTGCAGGAAGGGGTAACTGAATAAGGAGTTAGGTAATAATAATAATAATAATAATCTGTAGCTCTTTATAGCACTTGTCACCAGTGCATCTCAAAGCTCTTTACAAAGGAAGGTCAGTGTCATTATCCCCATTTCACAGATGAGGAAACTGAGGCGCGGATAGGTAATGGGAAGGCCCCTGCAGGTGGCACTCTTACAGCCCCAGACTATTGGGGTATTGGAGTGTGTGTTCCAGTGGGCTTCTGTCCTCTTGCCCTAATCTCTGCTGGGACCCGCCCAGGCATCCTCAACAACAGTAGTAGAGTGGGAGAACTTGTGGGGCCTCAGAAGGAGATACAGTCAGGTGATAGAATTCTTACATTAGTTGGTCCAGTGACATGCAATGAGCATGTTCGTTGTTCCCTTGGAGACTCCTTAGAGATTGCTAAGGGGAGCAGTTGATCAGATGTCATTATATATAAGCATACCCTGTGCCTATCTATTGGCATATTATCCTGTCTCAACATTTTCAGTACAAATAGGACTTAACCGATTGATTTTTATATAACAAATCTTTTCTCTTAATCAGAAGTGCTCATGCAAATACATTTTAATGTGAAGACTCATTGCTGCTTTGCAGGTTAACTATGCCAGCCTCTCACGTATTGAACCTCTTTATTGTGATATAGTTGGGTGTCTCACCACACCTGAATGGTTTTAGCAGCAACTGTAGGTATCATTACGTAATTTTAATGGGCTATCATGTGGAAATAGATCATCAAAATGTTATATAGGAGAAAAGAATAATTGTACAGAGCCATAATCAGGTAATTGTACATGGTCATAATCAGGTGATGATGTGCAAATGTTTAAATAACAAAAGATAAGAGCGAGAGTACTTAATATGAAATGCACCAGCTGAGCCAAGATTAGTTTCTATCTGACACTGTGTATTTCCTTCAGGCTCCCCATTACTGTTGATTCCTTTTTGCATCCTGCAGTGCGGAGCTTTTTCTCAAGTAAATGCTTTGTATAACAAGTGCTTTCCTCTCCCCCCCACCCCTCTTACAGGCAGTAACAGTCCTCATGGAAGCCCCACATCCCCCCTGGATAGCAATATGCTTCTAGTCATAATAGTATCTGTTGGAGTGATCACCATTGTGATAGTGGTGATTGTTGCTGTCTTCTGCACTCGTCGCACCACCTCTCACCAGAAAAAGTAAGATGTGCTTTACTCTGTTCTAGTTTTCTCCCTTTATTCAGTTACTTAATAGCTGTATCTATGACTGCAAGAGTAGTGACATCCCCATTATGACCTCACAATTGCAGCTGGTACTGGCAAAGGCTTAGAAAACATTCCATCTGAAATTGTTGGTACAACCCTCAGCCATTCATGCACTTTCTTTGCCCTTATCTATCAATATCAATTGTGTCTTATGTGGGTTGAATTTAAGTCAGTTAATTATTATATAGATCTACGCCACTAACACTAGCAGTTTAAGGGTGGCTGTTTCCTTGGCTTCACTGATGAAAGAGTTAAATATCTTACTCCAACAAAAGGTGATACCATTTTAGCTTTAGTACTGGTAAGTAACAAGGCCCTTAGAGAAGAACTCATTGTAGAGGTTCAAGTGATCATGAATTAATTCACTTTAAACTAAATGGAAGGATAAACAAAAATAGGTCTTCAGCCAGGGTCCTTGATTTCAAATGGGCAGACTTAAAAAATTAAGGGAATTAGTTAGGGAAGTGGACTGGACTGAAGAAGGATCTGAATGTGGAGGAAGCCTGGAATTACTTTTAAGTCAAAGTTGCAGCAACTCTCTGAAGCCTGCATCCCAAGCAAAGGAGAAGAATTGTAGGGAAGGGTCACAGACCAAATGGATGAACAAGCATCTCAAACAGGTTATTAAGAGAAAGCAGAAAGCCCACAAGGAATGGAAGAAATGGTGGATCAGCAAGGAAAGCTACATCTTGGAGGTCAGAAAGCATAGGGAAAATGTGAGAACTGCCAAAAGCCAAGCAGAATTGGACCTTGCAAAGGAAATTAAATCAATAATGAACGGTTATTTAGCCATTTAAATATAAAGAAAACAAGGAAAGAATAAATGGAACCACTAAGCACTGAGGATGGAGTGGAGATTAAAGATAATCTAGGTATGGCCCAACACCTAAATGAATACTTTGACTTGGTTTTTAATAAGGGTAATGAGGATTTGAAGGTCACTGACAGGGTGGCGAATGGGAACAAGGATGGAAGCTAAACTCAAACAGCTTAATGAGACCAAATCGGGAGGGCTGAATAACCTCCATCCACATTAAAGGAACTGGCACATGAAATTACAAGCCCAATGGCAAGGATTTTAATGAATCAATAAACTTGGGAGTCATACCCTATGACTGGAGAATTGCAAATATACTGTAGCTATATTTAAGAAAGTGGGGGTGGGGAGTGATCCAGAAAATTTACAGTCTTGTTAATTTGACCTAAATTGTATGCAAGATCTTCAAACAAATTTTGAAAGAGAGAGTAATTCTTCTTGGTGTATGTATAACATGCCTCAGGTGGCCCCTGACCAGGATTCATCACCAAATTTGGTCCACTGGTTGGATCATTAGCTTCCCCGGCTTGGGCCAGGTACTGACTGGGAGTGCAACGTGAACATTGATCCATGTCCCCCAGAGAGTGGTTAAGGCCATAGAGATAAACAATAATTGGGATAAAATACAACATGGTTTTACAAAAGATAGATTGTGCCAGACCAACCCAAGTTCTTTCTTTAAGAAGATAACCAACTTTCTACATAAAGGAAGTGAAGTAGATCTAATTTACTTGAATGTCAGTAAAGCATTTGATACAGTTTCACGTGGGAAATTATTATTTAAATTGAGAGGATGGGGATTAAGATGAGATTGAAAGGTGGGAATGGGGCTAAAGGGGGACTACAATGGGTCATGCTGAAAGGCGAACTGTCCGGCTGGAGGGAGGTTGCTAGTGAAGTTCACTTAGGGACTAACATCAAGATTTTTTGCCATAAACTGGGGACGTATCAGTTGGAAGTGACAGAGGAGGAGAAAAACGTAGGTGTATTGGTCTATCACAGTATGACTATGAGCCACTAATGTGGTATGGCCGTGAAAATGGCTGATTCAATCCTAGGATGCATCAGGCAAGGTATTTCCAGTAGAGATAGGGAAGTGTTATTACCATTATACAAGGCACTGGTGAGACCTCATCTGGAGTATTGTGTGTAATTCTGGTGTCCAATGTTTAAGAAAGATGAATTCAGACTGTAATAGATGCAGAGAAGGGCTACTAGGATGATGAGAGGAATTGAAAACCTATGTCACGAGAGGAGACTTACAGAACTTGATTTGTTTAGCCTAAGAAAACAAAGGATATGGGGAGATGTGATTGCTGTCTATAAATATGTCAGAGGGATAAACATCAGGCAGGAAGAGGTATTAAACTGGCCATCAATGAGTTTAGGCTTGAAATTAGATAGATGAAGGTTTCTAACCATCAGAGGAGTGAAGTTTTGGAACAGCTTCCCAAGGGAAGTAGGGAGGGGCAAAGACTGAGCTTGATAAATTTATGGAGGATATGGGATGATGAGACTGCCAATGATGGCATAGGACCCATCCACAACTGCTATTAGCAAATATCCCCAATGGTTGGAGATGGGACACTAGAGAGGGAGGGCTCTGAGTTACTTTAGAGAATTCTTTCCCTGGTGTCTGGCTGGTGGGTCTTACTCACATGCTCAGGGTCTATTTGATCACCATGTTTGGAGTCAGGAAGGAATTTTCTCCCAGGTCAGATTGGCAGGAACCCTGGGGGGGGTGTATTTGCCTTCCTCTGCAGGGTGGGGCACAGGTCACTTGCTGCTTTAAACTAGAGAAGCGGTTCTCAAACTGTGGGTCAGGACCCCAAAGTGGGTCCCGACCTAGTTTTAATGGGGTCACCAGAGCTAGTGTTAGACTTGCTGGGGCCTGAAACTGAAACCAAAGCATGAGGCTGGGGCTGAGGCCAGGCAGGCCAAAGCCCAAAGGCTTCAGCCCCAGGCAGGGGGCCTGTAGCCTGAACCCCGCCACCCAGGGCTGAAGCTGTAGCCTGAGCCCCATTGCCCACGGCTGAAGCTGAAGCCTGAGCCCTGCCACCCAGGGATGAAGCCCTTGCTTTGGCCCTGGGCAGTGAGTGGGGCTCAGACTACAGGCCCCTGCCCAGGGCTGAAGCCCTTGGGTTTTGGCTTTGGTCTGCCTGCCCACCCGGGGCGGCGTGGCTTGGGCGGACTCAGGCTTCAGTCCCCCTCCTGGGGCCGTGTAGTAATTTTTGTTGTCAGAAGGGGGATGTGTTGCAATGAAGTTTGAGAATCCTTGAACTAGAGTAAATGGTGGATTCTCTGTCGTTAAAGTCTTTAAATCAAGGTTTGAGGACTTCAGTAAGTCAGCCAGAAGTTATAGGCCCACTAAAGGAATGGGTGGGTGGGTGAGGTTCTGTGGCCTGCAGTGTGCAGGAGGTCAGACTAGATGATCATGATGTTTCCTTCTGGCCCTAGTCTCTGAGTCTAATAATGACATGATGCCCCCCACCTATTCACCATCCATGAGGGGAAAGGCAGTAACACGTACAGGTAGATGAACACAGCTTTCCCAGCACAGATAAAAACTTCATTAAGTGAAACTTTCCAAAACTCAACCAAAGAGAGCACCCTACATTTTGACTAGTGATTTTGGGTGCCTCCATTTTTTAGTTGCTTTAGAGTTGTAAAAGAGTGCTGAGGGCCCTCCCTATGAAAAATCCAGCCCCTTTAAGGTGTCTCAATTTGGAAAATAAAAATCATTGATCACTTCAAAATTTAGGCCAGTGTGTTTATAACTGAGGTACCAGGCAAGTCAGTCTGAATCTGATTGGCCTTATTGGTAAAGTAAATAGAAAATTCTTCAGTATGAAAGTTGACTGTAACAGCTAAGGCAAGACAGACTCACCTAACTGCCTCCAACTCTGAGCAGTTCTGCGAGGTGAGACTTTGTTCATTTGCTCTGTCACAGCAGTTTCTTGTCCGTACAATATAGGCACCAAACTCTTTCTGGCTCGGATTGAATTTTCAACCAGTTACCACAGCTTTCTCCTCCGGTCACTGGCCATGTTTAAACCATGGTAATTTATAAGGATGACACAAAGATGGAAGATATCTAGGTGCTAGTGTTTCAGTGTTTATGACTAGGAGGTTGTTGCAGCTTTCCACTAAGCCATCAGAACAGAGTACTTCAATGGATAAGCAGCAGTGTCTGCTAGGGAAGCTTGCTTTTTCATTAGTGCTGCCTTCCCTTCTTCCTAACACTTAGCCCTGCTCTACATTGAAAAGTTATATTGGCATAAATATGTCCGTTGGGGTGTGAAAAAACGACCACACTGACTGATGTAGCTTTGCCAATGTTAACGCCCAGTGTAGATGCGGCTGTGTCGATGGAAGAGGGCTTCCATCGATGCCTTCTGTCAGTGTAGTCTGTGTCTACACTATGGTGCTATGCCGGTATGAGCTCCATAGTGTAAACATACCCTTAGTGAACTTCAAGTCTCCACTTAAAATCTTTTTGGATTTGAGTGACATTTAGTGTAATGCATCCCTGATTCTTTGTATGAAAGATTTATATGCAAAAGTTGCTTGGTTCTATTATTAGTCTTGTCCTTTCTGTAGAAAAGGACCTGGGGATTACAGTGGACAAGAAGCTGGATATGACTCAACAGTGTGCCCTTGTTGCCAAGAAGGCTAACGGCATATTGGGCTGCATTAGTAGGCGCATTGCCAGCAGATTGAGGGAAGTGATTATTTCCCTCTGTTGACAATGGTGAGGCCACATCTGGAGTATTGCATCCAGTTTTGGGCCCACTACTACAGAAAGGATGTGGACAAATTGGAGAGATCCCAGCGGGAGGGCAACAAAAATGATTAGGGGTCTGGGGCACATGACTTACGAGGAGAGGCTGAGGGAACTGGGGTTATTTAGTCTGCAGAAGAAGAGTGAGGGAGGATTTGATAGCAGCCTTCAACGACCTTGCAAAGGGAATTAAAACCAATAGTAAAAGGTTCTATAGCCAAATAAGAAGAAGGCAAAGAAAGAAGAAGTGGGACCGCTAAACACTGAGGGTGGAGTGGAGGTTAAGGATAATCTAGGCATGGCCCAATATCTAAACAAATACTTTGCCTCAGTCTT